GAGTCAGTATGTTCCTTTTAAAATTTATAAAATGACACAGAATTTAAGTCACTTGCTTAAAGTCACATGGGGCAGATCTGAAATTGGAGCCGAGCTCTGTCTGACCCCAAAGCCCTGTCCTTCCCCACTGCCACACTGCTGGCTCCTTAGGCTGTCAGCTGGGCCAGAATGCCAGAATCACTCAGGATCAACACAGACACACACACACAGACACACACACACACACACATACTCTCTCACTCTCTCTCTCTCTCTCTCTCTCTCTCTTTCACCCTCCTCTCTGTCTCTCTCTACCTCCTCTCTCTCTCTCTCTCCCCCTCCCTCCTCTTTCCCCCCCCCCCACCTCTCTGTCTCTCTCCCCTTGCAATCCTTTTGCTTGAATTGCATGTCACAAAGACAAAATACATTTCACAAGCACAAAAAAAGCTCTTGGAAGAGGGTGAAGATAACATGGGATTTTCTCGCTACCACATATCTGTTATTGTTTGTAATCATGTTTTCACAATTAGCTTAGTTAATGTGTCAATTTCTAATAATAGGCTTTCCATGGAGGTTGCCAGAAACCGTGTGTTGGAAGGAAGCATACTGGGATTCAAAAGAGCCAGCAGTGATAGATGATAAAGAGTTAACCGGCCAAAAGCTGTATCTTAAATATCAAACAGGCATATTTTAGAGTTTTGTGGTTTTGAGAAAAGGTTCCCAATGCTATTATTATACAGTCTTTTTCTTCCTCAAAAGTGCATTACAATGGATGGAAAAACTCATTATGCTAAGTCAAAGCAGTCAGTCACAAAAGACCACATATTGTATGATTCCATTTATAGGAAATATCCAGAATCTATGGAGATAGAAAGTAGACTCGTGGTTACTTAGGGTTTGGGGGGCTGGTACAGAGAAGTGATAGTTAAAGGGTATGGGCTTCTTTTTGAGGTGATGAAAATGTTCCAAAATTAGACTCTGGTTATGGTTACACAACTCGGTAAATATGCTAAGAAGCACTGAACTGTATTACTTTAAATGGGTGAACTGTATGGTATGTGGATTATATCTCAATAAAACTGTTAACAGAAAAAGCACATTATGTTTGCAAAAAAAAATGTTAAGTAGCTATTATGCATGAATATTTGTGGTTTGGGATTTTTTTCAATATATACAATTATTTTAGAGGTGAGAGCTATGGAATTTAGGTTTAGCTAGGTTGGGCCAATTCAGGCTAAGTGGAGTGCCATGGCTGACTAGGAGTGCCACCTTAATGTGGGAAGTGAGGCGGGTGCTTGAGGACTTTAGTGCTAGGTTCTGTCACGGGAAGTGCATATGTATGGAAGGGATCGTTGACAGCAGGTCACAGTTCTGACAAGGGGCGGGGGTTCAGGGCAAATTTCAGGGTCCCAACAGGTATGCTGGAGTGTGTAGCTGGGCATTCAGCAGAAGCACAGCCACACAAACCGGGGCATGGAAGGGCTGCTGGAATGCCTGGGGCCCAGCGTCTAGGTACGAGGAGTAGCAGCGCTTCTGACTGGATGCCGAGAGCCATGCGGGGTTGGTCTGGGTAAAAAACTCGGGCTCCATGGCAGCAGCAGGCTGCAGCAGTGGCTGGATGAGGTGGTCTAGCCTTCTTTCAAGAGTCAAGTCCACCTGGACTCCCCTGTCAGGGGCCACCCACGGCCACCCACTTGATCCCTAGGGATGTAAGCTCACAGCCTTACCAGGATGTGTCTCCAACCCCAGCTGTGTGAAGGGAAGAAAGACAACCAGAGAGAAGGATGTAATTGCCCCAGGCAAGTTCCTCTTAATAACCCTTTACTCCTCTTACTGATGTTGCCACTTCCTATATCTGCTCAATTCAACATTAGTTATGCCAAGGACCATGAGAGGGGCTGGAGATACAAAGACCAAGAAACAGTCCCTGCCCTCAAGGAGTTGATAGTCTAAAGGCGGACAGCAACTCACAAGCAGATCATTTCCAACAAAATGATCACATCCTATCACATCTGCTCATCACCATGCATTCAGGTTGGGTTGCAGGGTCTGCTTCTAGGGGACCCAACTTAAGACACACATCTACCACAACAACTAAAGAAGTACACACTGAAATGTTATTTAGCATACTAATATTGCACAGAATTAAAGTATTCCATAAACATTACTCAAAGGACAAGAATGTTCTTGGACTGACAGTTACATTTTCTAAACAAGACCTTGTAAACATATCTAACATGAAAATTTCTTCAGTTAACACAGTTTATCATATCGTCAACAGCAAAACACGTTAAGGTGGCCTGTTGGACCAGCAATGAACACATACTTGTTAAAAAATTGGATTATTGATGTCTAGAGTTTCAAGTTCTCCGCAAGCATCTATATTGTCATGTAAGTGTGACATTTCGGATTCAACCCAAATGCATGGTGATGAACAGATGTGATGGGATGTGATCTGATTTGGGGGTTAAAAATATGCTGTTTAAATAACTGTACTTAAACTTTATCACTCTGAAATTTGGTTTAAATAAACTGTGTGTTGCACTATTTTATTTTTATCATACACGAGGTCACATAATACAGTGGGGAAGGAGCCCTGGATTCTGGTCCAGACTCTGTAACTCAATATCCAAGTCACCCAGACAAACTGTACTCTCTCTGGGGCTCATTTGCCACATTTGTTTAAAAAGGAAAACAAGAAATTGCTGCAAAAACGAGAGGGTTTAGTTAAATGATCTCAAATATCCCTGCTAGCAAAATTCTATTAGGGTGCATAAAGGCCATTTAATTTCACCATACAGATCTGTGCACAGTGAACCAGACTGGTATTTTTGAACTAAGAATTTTACTACTTAGAAAAAAAAAACCAACCAGCACCCCCTCTGAACCCATCTGTAATGATAACATTAGGAGTTCAAGTTGGAGTAGTTTTAGCCTCTGGAGTTTAAGCAAGCCCTTAACCCGAGCACCTGCCTGCATTTTATAATTTGGCTAATAAAGTCATAAAGCAGTTCCATCTTTGACAAGAAAGCAAAATCATTTTACTAATATTTTCATGCACTTCCAGAATTATTTCCAATGAAAGACCTTGTAAATACCGATGGCATACCAGGCAGAAAAAGATAGAACTTTATCTTTCCTTGGGCTTTTTTCCCTATGAAATATAACCCCAACTGTCAGAAATACAAGTTATTTCAGATGCCCTCAAACGGTTCACTTAAAACAGATTGCCAGAGGGGCTGCATGAGAAAATAGCAAAATCAATTTCAGATGAAAGCAAAACACAGAGAAACCTCCATCCAAATTAGCAAGAAAGAAGTTCTATTAATCACTTAGTTATTTAATAGCAGGATGGAGAAGATGGGGAAATGTTTTCCTAATGTCTCAATATTGGGGTGGTTTTAGTCATCATTTCTGTGCTGGGTACATGTTGTAAAAATAACTTCATGAGGAGCTGCCCCACGAAACTCCAGCCCCTACCGAGCTTTGCAACCTTACTGCCCATTATCTTGTCACTGCATTTTAGACGTAGCAGGCAGTAATTAGATCAGAGCCTGGATAGTCAGGGAGAGAAACTGGAACGAATTATTTTCTTACAGGAAGTGGTCATTCAAAGGCAGAAAACCCAAGTCACCTACAATTTCCTTGTATACTTTGCCAAGGGATAGGCCGGGCAGGGTCCAAGAACAGGAAGGGAGACCTCAGCTGGGGTCAGGGAGCCGGGAAGCGGGTGGGGGGCAGGGAAGCAAATTCCCGAATGCGGAATGTGCGCTAGCCCTGGAGACGCGAGCCGCCTCGGGAAGGGTGCAGAGTAGGCCCAGCATCTTGCAAGGGTGAGTCCAGGTGAGGGACGTGTTACCAAGCGCCGCTGGGAGAGATCACGGATTCGACCAGGCGTGGTTCCCACCAGTGGCTCCTCTGCGCACAGCAGCCTCCTGGGTGTCAGCGCGCAAAGTAGCCTCTTAATCCCTCCTCCCGCTGGATTAATTAGGGCCTCCTCAAAACAGAAAGTTGGGAGCCAGAGGCTTCATTCCAGGGGCACGGGGGCGGGGGAGGAGGATCCACACTCCTCCAGCCCAGCCGGGCGCCCCCTCTCAGACACCACCAGACAGAGAGGCCCGGGCGACTCGCGTCTCTCCAGTGAGCGTCCCCTTCGCTGGGTTCCCGGGACCCCCTGGGGACCGGCGGCTCGCCGGGTCACCGGAGTCAGGTCACAGGCCCAGGCTGCTTCCTTCCGCGCCACGGCCCTCGGTTGGCGGCCAGCAGCCAGGGCGCGGGGCGGGGCGCTCCCGGGAGGCCGAGGCCGCGCGCTATTCCTGTCGCTGTGAGCTACAGGCCTGTTATGTGCGGCACCCAATCACGCCTCCGACCGGCCGAGCTGACCCGCGCACCCCCCGCCCTAATCCCCCAGGCTCTGATTTGATCCTCCGCGCGGAACACTCTCTCCCCCCTTGCCCCACAGCCAGTTGTCCCCGGCCCTTGCGGGTGTCCTCAGAACCCGTCCTCCTCGTCCACCCCCGGTAAGTCAGAGCCCTCGCCTCGCACTCCCGGGACGCCCCGAGCCGGGCTACATCTGCGCATCTGGGCCGTCGGAGATCCAGCACCCCCGGGAGTCAGTCCCCTCGCAGCTCGGCCCTTCCAGGTGATGGTGCGCGGCCCCTGCGGCCCCTGCGTAGGTGTGGGTTCCTCAAACTGGGCCGGGGAGGGAGCTTTAGGCAACGAGCTGACAGCCTCGGCAGCCGCCAAAACCAAACCCTGCACCCCGCCACCCATCCCAACAGACACCAAACTCCGCGCCCTCCGCCACCAGGGGCTTTGGAAAACGTTCCCCAACCGAACTGGCTCCGAGGGTCGCAGCGGGAGATCTACGGATGTGGACAAAGAAGCATCCCGCTTTAAGCTGAGCAGGCAAAAACCAGACCTTGCTACGGCCTTTGCGGCTCACGTGAGTGTCCCGGGGGTGCCGGGCTCCGAGATGCCTCCGGCCGCGCCCGGCTGGCCCCAGCGCCCGCCTGGCCGCTTCCCGCCCTGGGCATCATGAGTTACTTCCTGTCTTATTGCAAAGCTCATGGCAGCGCGCTGCTCACCGGCTACCAGGCCCTGCGCGCCGAGGGCTTCCTGTGCGACGTGACACTGGAGACCGAGGGCAGCGAGTTCCCGGCGCACAGGTCGCTCCTCGCGTGCTCCAGCGACTACTTCAGGGCCCTGTTCAAGAACCACACCCGAGAATCCCGGGCGCCCGTGATCCACCTGCATGTGCCGTCGGCGGCCGGCCTGCAGCGCCTGCTCGACTTCATCTACACCGCCTGGCTGCCGCTCTCCATGGACACCGTAGAGGACACGCTGGAGGCCGCCAGCTACCTGCAGGTCACAGAGGCCCTGGAGCTGTGCGGCCGCTACCTGGAGCGCCAGCTGGCCCCGGAGAACTGCTGCTTTGCAGCTAACGTAGCGGCGCGCTTCGGCCTGGCGCACACGCTGGATGCATCGGAGCGCTGCATTGTGCGTCACCTGAGGGAGATGCTGGCGCGGGGCGCAGGCCCTATGGGGCTGCTGGAGCTCAACCCCACGTCGCTGGTGGCCGTGCTGGGTGCCCCCGATGTGGCGCGGGTGCCCGAGTCCCGGTTGCTGGGCCTGGCGCTAGCCTGGCTGCGGCAGGAGCCCAAGGCCGAACGCCTGGTGCATTGCGCCGCGCTGCTTGAGCGCGTCCGCTTCGGCCTGGTGCCCGCCGACGTGCTGCGGCGCATGTACTCGGGCTCCGGCCTCGCACTTCCCGCCCGGGTCAAGGGCCTCATCATCCAGGCCCTCAACTACCACACGGCGCCCTCCCGCCAGCCGCTCGTGCAGGGAGAGCAGACCAGTGTCCGGAGCCCCCAAACCCGCATCTTGTTGGTCGGGGGGCTCAGGACAAGGGAGGCGGTGACTGAGGAGGTTGCAGCCCCGCGGGGTGCAGCCAGGGGCAGGGGCGCCGCGGCTCAGCCCGAGGAGGAGGAAGAGGAGCAGTTGGAAGAGGACGAGGAAGAGGAGTGGGAGCTCACCCAGGACGTGGTGGCTTTCGACGTGTACAACCACCGCTGGTGCAGCCTCACGCGGCTGCCCGCCCCACTACTGGGACACAGCGTGTGCGCGGCGGGCAACTTCTTGTTCGTTCTAGGTGGGGAGAGCCCTTTGGGCAGTGGCTTCTCTCCCTTGGCTGACGGCCCGCGGGCAGTCACGGCCCAAGTGCACCGTTACGACCCTCGCTTCCACACTTGGACGGCGGTGCCCGCTATGCGAGAAGCGCGGGCTCACTTCTGGTGCGGCGCCCTGGGCGAGGGGCTTCTGGCCGTCGGGGGCCTGGGCGCGGGCGGCGAGGCGCTGGCCTCAGTGGAGATGTATGACCTGCGCCGGGACCGCTGGACGGCGGCAGCGGCGCTCCCGCGGGCGCTGCACGGTCACGCGGGGGCTGTCGGGGACCGCGGCGTGGTGTACATCTCCGGGGGCAAGGCGCGGAGTGGCGAGGGCGGCACGAGCAGCCTCAGGGACGTGTGTGCCCTGGGCCCCGGGGAGCGGACGTGGAGCAAGAGGGCGCCTATGGGCACGGCCCGCTTTGGGCACCACATGGCTGCCCTGCGCGGCGCGGTGTTCGCCTTTCTGGGGCGCTATGAGCCCTTCTCTGAGATCGAGCGCTACGACCCCGGCACCGACCAGTGGACTCGACTGCGGCCGTTGCCCTACGACCGCTTCTGCTATGGGCTGGCCGTGGTGGAGGAGACAGCGCTGCTGCTGGGCGGTGTCAAGTGGCGGGACTCGCGCCAGGTGCCAACCCGCAACGTGGTGGGTTATGACCTCGACCTGGACCGCTGGGAGGACATCGGCTGTGCGCTGCCCTGGGCCTGGAGTGGCCTGCAGTGCGCAGTGCTGCAGCTGGCCGAAGGTGGGGACGAGGAGAGGGAGGGAGAGACCAGAGAGGCTCCTGATTTAGTGCTGGGCTTCATGGGTTAGGGCAGTCTCTGGCTACAGAGGAGAAAATAGTGCTTGAGCAGGTTTACAGAGAAACACGTGGGTTTTTCTTAAGAATGGGGCCCTGGGAACACAGTGGCTTCTGAAGGTTAAGGAGGCAAACAAGGGCTTGGCCAAAGAGGGACGTTTCCCTTTAAGCTGAGAGTGGGAGACAGGAGGGGTCAAATAGGATATATGAATCAGCTTCAGTGAGCTGGGGATTTCTAGAAATTCTCATGCTGGGCTAGAGATGGACTTTCAAAAGTAAAATATGACCCTGTTTTCCCTCTTACAGTTGAAGTGTTTCCCTAGGTGCTAAACAGTGATTACTTTTGTGCCAAACAAACAAACAAATGGCCAAAAATGTACCATCATAAGTTATATACAAGACCCAGGAAATCATAAGCTATAAAGGCTGTAATAAATAGTCCTAGAACATGGCATTATCTGAATAAACAGTGAAGGGAAAGTGCCTTGGTTAAACAGCACGAAATCATTGTAAGGAAAACTATGATTTTATCATCCAGAAACATGGTTCTGCTCTGACGGTTTAAAATAACTATGGAACTTGGATGGAAAAAAAACTCTTAGGAGAGCACCTTTTTTTTTTTTTGAGATAATGACCTAGGTTAAGTTTTTCTGTCCCTCATCCTTAGTTACCCTTTGTCTGCTTTTGCCTTAGCTTTAGGCAGCTCATTGGTTTTAAGTTTTATGTCAGCAACCCTTAGCCATAACAATGAGGCTCTTCTGGTTAAGTGGAACATCTAACAAAAACAAAACCCTATTTCTTTCATCCTATTTAAATGTTCATTCTGTAGACATGCTGTAGGTTATATTAAAACAAAACCAAAAAAACCCCCTTATTTTTGGTGGCTCCTTCACCCACCCTCCCCAATTTCCCCAAAGAATCACAGAGAAAGGAAAGAGGAGTGAAAATTTCAAGTTCATGGCAGGCAAATGGGAAACCGGCTTGATTTTACAGGGGCTCAGAGAAGATGCTTGTGTACACTGCACAGGTGATTGTTCATTGGAGTAGCAAAGTTAGAACTCATAATTGTGGAGGGATGGAAAGGTGACTGTGTGATTCTGTTACAAAGAAATATGGTGAGGACTTGATGAATAAAGTAGGTGCTTTATGAGGATGCATTAAGAGCCGAATTTATTTGACTTCAGTTTACAGTGCTGCCTCTTTCCTAGATTTGAAACTAATGCAATAAAATGTACAGATATATACTGTTAAAAGGTCTCTTTCATGCTAGGCTAGCCACAAGTCTTTTAAAATTCATTAGTTTAATTTTTACCATTTAAAACAACAGAGCCGACTTTACAAAAGGAAAAGCTGCTTAGTAGCAACACAGCTAGTCTTTCCATCAACTGCTTGCTGTTTACAGGGCACAACCTGGCCACTGTATCCATGACACATCCATCAGGTACAGATATTTTTAAGTGAATGTACACATTTGGTCTAGTAAACATCAACAAGTCTAAACACCTGTAACAAGCACACTTCATTTTAGGACGAGGTTTTTTTTTTTCCGTTTTTGTTTTTTGTTAGTTTTTTACATATACAAAATCCCACAAATTTAATGTGCGTCAATATCCATGCAGTAAATAAATGTTTTTACAAATAGGTTTTTTAAATGATAAAAATATTACACTGGACTCAAAATTCCATACAAACATTAATACATGATTTCTCATCCATTTTGACTAAATATAGGATTACTGAAAATGTGCTGTAGAAAGGCCACTCTCCTGTACAGTTGTGCAAAGTCTGCAAAACGATAAGTGATTCAATGGTGGTTTCAAAAGCAAAGAAAAAGATCCCCGCTGTGGAGTTTTTACTTTCTCCTCTACAGCAAAAATATTCACTGGCATATATCTGAACTCTTAGAGATGAAAGTACATTCACTGAGCTGTACAGGCAACAGTATAAAGCTGATTAGAAGTAGATTTTAGGATATAGAATAGTAAAGGAGGGTCCCTTCCTCCTCCTAAAAAAACAGCAAATTGTGACTTGTACGTTATGCAGCCAGACACTAAAAAGCAGCACAGTCATTATCATGCTGTGATCACTTTCAAAAACGAGATGCTTATAAATGGAAATATAAGAAGAGGACTTTTTCATAGACTTCATCCACTCTATAGAACAATTCATGAAGCTAGGAAAAACCTCTATAAAATCGTTTCTCTCATATAATTCAATGTGACAGATCTCTAAATGACCGTCATCCTCTTGCTCCTCAGGAGAGAGGTACATTTTTAGTTCGCAACATTGTTTTCTATATAATAACACATCAGGCTGTAACAAAACATATTTTACTTCCCTGCCTGAAGTAAAATTACGTATGTTTAATTAATGTACTAGGGGGAAAATTGGAAACTAACTGGAAAGTTGATTCATTTCAGTTTATACCTTGTAGCATTTTAAGAGTTGGAGTTCAAAAACATGAGTTTGGGCTGAAATTATATATATATATATATATATGTATCTGTTAGCTGCCTTTCTGGGTGTGTTAGGTGTGTTTTAAAAAATCCATTCTCAAATTCCTCTGTACACAATCAGCATTTCATCACTACAAAAATAAAGGAAGATTTAAACCAAGAAAATAAAGCAGCTCTATCTTCAATTTTGGTCTTAGTTACAAAAACATCTTACAAAGCTTTGCCCTGATACACCAGTAAGTGTCCCCATAGATTTGGAATAGTGTTTCCATTAACCAGCTTTCACAAGTTAATAGACTATTAAGACGAATATCAGATACCTGAACTTTTCTTATGTTGATGCTCTTCTAGTTTGCTTAACTCTTGTATGCGCATCTACATTTCACAAAAATAAAACTACAGCATTAAACTTTGTGCAATGTTTAAGAAAATTCTTAGAACATTTTAATAAATATAAAAAAGGTTTAAATTCTTTCCCACCCACAAGGATGTCTGCACCTGAAAAAATGTGATTTACTTTTGAAGTCTTGTTTATATAAAATTAACTTAAAGGGAGAAAAGATGACCTTAGAAAACTGCCGTTTTGTGTTTTTTTCTACTTGAAGACCACCTGTCTTCAGAATTGTTTGCAAAAGTTAATTTTAAGTCATTGAAGACAGTTGATTTTGCACATGGTAAACATAAGCTGAGCACTAACTGCATATAAAATATACAAATGCTCATTAAAGACAATGGTATAATGACCATATATAGTTTGTTTCATACAGTTTGGTGACACTGAAGTATAGCTTGTCAAGTGTCCCACACACTGATATAAAAACTACCGTATATACTTGTTCAAAGTACCAGGAGGTACCAGATGGCCTGAAGGCAGAAAACACTTACACACCTACACGTGCGTTTCAATGTACGAATGAGTGTGTGTTAGGGAGGAAGTGATTACATCTACTTCAGAAGAAATACTTAATGGGTCATTTGAGGTGGTATTTTGACAGATATCCAAGAAAAGATCGAGGTACATCTGCTTCCATTGCTGGAATTCTTTAGATGTCAAGTCTGGATTGTCTAGGACTTTATCAATAATGGCTACTTCCCCTTCTCTGGCCTGAAAAGCAAAAGGATTCAACAGTTAAGATGCAGACAAACTTTTGTTCAACTTTAAAATAAAAAGTTAACAGGGAAAAAATTAAGAAGTCCATAATAAATGACTCTGGCATACTCAAACTCAGCTATTTAGACTCAAATCCTTGTGTACTTTTTTCTACACCATATGGTATGCCTTGTATCACCCATTCTGTGTGGTTTATTTTTTCTCTTGTTTCCCATCTCTGCCTATGGAAACCTTTTTCATTCTTTAAGATCCATTTCAAAACGCCTCTCATTTCTTGAAACCTTCGTTTAACAATTGGAAAAGATGTTCTCTACCTCATAGATGGCCCATAACACTTTATCATTGCCATTGCGTGGACTTATCACATTCTGTGTCTTGAGTTACATTTGCACTGTCCTATTTTTACTGCTAGATGGTCAGTTCCTCATGCTTGCATGAGAGAGAGCATGGCCCTCCTGTCACCACAAATACATAACATTTGCAGTGCGAAAGTTATGGCTTCCTTCCTGTAGCATCAGGGGCCTGCAATGCAAAATGGCCCACCCTTTCAGAGTGGAAGTTGTCCTTCCCTAATGGGAGATTTCCATTTCCTATTCATTTCCCACACTAAAAAGTATAGGGCTCTATAGTTCATTTTACCAATGAGGGGCATTATTTACAGTGACTTATTGTCATCTTTGTTTGCCCCAGCGAGTAGGGCACAGTATCACATACCAGGTGACTCATCAATATTCACTGAACTAAACAAATTCTTTGCTACTGGAAGAAAACACTTTTTGGGAATCTACAGATCATGAAAGACAGGGGCTGAGAGAGAGAGAGAGACAGGAGTAGGCCTTTAAAATACTTGAGCCTGACCTGTTTCAAAATGCCTGCCTGCTGTCACAACCAGGCAGTTTGGACCTGGAGGTGAGGGGTGGGGGTCTGAAAAGTGGGAGGGTAAGGGTCTCTTTGGAGTAGGATTGATCACCAGAATTACTATGAATATTATATAGCTCTTTTAAAAATTCTGGTCTTAGTTACCCAAAAGCCATTAGGCTGGTCCCACAGATTTGAATAGTATTTTCATGAATACCGATTCAAAACGAGTTGACTCTGAAAACTTGGTTGCATGCTATGGGAAATTTTTTCAACTAATGCATTTTCTATGTCGTTTATCTCTTTGGTGCTCATCTATGTTTCAGAATCACAAAACGTGAGCAATACACTATGAATCAGAAATATTTCCCAAAGGAGTCCTTTGACCTTTTGTTTCTTGAAAAAACTGTGTTATATACTACTCTGTATGGTAGTTCTTTTTTGGGTTTGATTTTTCAAGGGTGCAGGGCCTGTTTAGGGAGAGTTTGTGTGGCAGCCCCCCCCCCCCCAAGCCCCCCCCCCACGCATGTGCGCAGTGAGGGGGCTCACTTTTCTGCCTCCTTCAACTTCCTGCTTCTCTGCTCCCCCTCTCCCCATCACCTTCTCCCTAATCTGGGGGTAACATAATAAGACTGGAGACAATGTAAGCACTTATGGAAATGTATAATAGGAAAGTAACATGAGAATTGGGAACTGATCGTGTAAACAGAACAATTATGAAATTTCTACATGGAACATGAATCACTGTGGCTTCACTCCAAATGTGCCGCAGGAAATAGATATGAAATATTGCAAACCCTTTTAGCACCCACTATTGCATCTGCATGCATGCTGTGTTCTTTTAATAACTATATTAATTACACTACATGGCACCTTTATCTTAGGAAAACGAAAGACTGAGAAATAACACCAGCCTTGTATTTTTGGAAAAAATAATTAATTACATCCTGTTTTCTCCTGGAACTAAGTCACATAACATTTAGTCAGTGCTTTGAGATGTTAATGAAAAGATAAGATTATTTCCTTTTTACCCACACACTTATTATTCTATAGGAACAGCTCAGTTTTAGTTTCTTCCGGTTTACCTATCTTCCCCCCTCGCCCACCCCATTTTGTATTTCTTCATCTAGTGTATCTGGTCATGGCCTTTGAACTCAGAAATGAATCTCTTGAAAGGACTTTCTCCTTCCATTTCCTTTCTTACCTTTAAAGTGCTTTTGAGAATTCTCAGCCTGTGTAGTTTCTCATTCATCACAGGATCATTGCATCTCTTTATAAATGATAGCTTGTATTCCATCTTGGTTGAAATGCGATGTTCTCCCAGTGGTGACAGACTGGCTTGCTCCAATGCCCTGTACAAATCTTGCAATGAGTCTCCTAACTTTTCTTCCCTACTTTCACCTGCAATGTCCAAAAAGAGAGAAAAATGAATCCAGTGTAATAAACAGTTATCTGACACTCCAAAAATCTACCAAAAAAATCAAAACCATCTGAAAACAGGATAATGGATGATTGGGAAAACACTCTATTACATTAAAAAAAAAAAAAAAAGAAACAAACCCACAGCTGCTAGTTATACTGGGTAAATTAGTTACAGGCAGCCAGTTGTTATAGAATGATCAAATAATAGGAT